TGCCCCAAAGTGGCAAATCCTTTTAAATTCTCTTTGCTCTGAAGAGGCATATCCTCTTTCCATCCCACATGGCTACCACAGCATCCTGGAGAGATCATTACATGGCTCATTGGATTTAAGAGAGTAAACAAAGTGTGTCTAAGTGTGTAAGAATAAAGATAGGCCTGGGTTGAATGTGAATGTGTGATCTTTAAAAAAGATTATGTATGTATGTATAGCTTTCCTAGCTCTTTGATGCACCAATCAGCAATGTTAACCAACTCACCAGGGAGACGTTAATATCTAAGAAAGTCATCCTCGCTGCTCAAAGGAACTAGGGCTTATTGGAACATAGCATCTAGTGGTCACCAAGATGGTTTTGCTCCACAGATGACATTAATGGTTATTGTTGGATGAGTCTCTTTGACAGAGAAGTTATTAGTGTAGTCACTCTGTTCTGTTGTTGAACAGGTCTTGAGAAAGGTCTTATTTCTCTGGAGGGAGATCTTTTCCAGCAAAGGAGAGATTCCCAATATATCTTTATAGATATAACACCTAAACATTACTCATGAGGTGACTTAGACCAAAAGCATTCCTAAGAGAAAGTACCATTTGGTACCCCTGAGGGAAGAATGTTGAAAACATTTACAGATCTGTTCTCAAAAAGCTGCTAAGCTCTCTATCACTGATGGCTTCTCACGGTGACGCTAGAGGCCTCGACGTTTCACCACAGTGTTGGTGAATCCAGCTGGCTCCTTCCTGTGAGGTTTAAGTGGTGTGTTTCTTTAATGAACCTCGAGTGGATCCCTTCTCCAGACTACAGAGCATGGCATGGTTGATTGCTGAGGCTTCTTGTTCTTGCGAATGAAATTCCTTGACATATTTCATTAATGTTCTGTAATTATATAGCCAGATGTTCTTCCATAGTTGTACATCAGCAGCCACTGGTTTTTAGCAAAAATCTCATGGGCTCTCCTATCAGTGTTTCAAAGGGGAACATGAGCATCTGGGGCAAGATATTAGCTTATTTTTTGTATTCCTCTTTTGCTGATTCTGGGTGATGTCGGCAGTGGAAATGTTGGCTCTGTAAGACTCTCTAGACTTCCTGAAAATGTGTGGTCATGTCGCCAAAAGTGGTTGCAGACTCTTAAATCTGGAAATGAAATCTTTGATTCTAGGTAACGGTGAGCATATCAACTTATCTACTAAAGCATATATGCAATAAAGCATAAATAATGTTTGTTTTTAACTGGGTAAAACCAACCGTGATATAGTACTAATTATCGGAAAAAAATTTCTAAATCTTCCCTTTTTTGAGGGTCATGAACTTCTGGCTTTACTCTTCATATGTTTCTGTTAGCTATATAAACTTCATTCTCTCTCTCTCTTTAGGCCTAAAAAGCACAGGGAGCTGCCAGACAGCCTCATTTCTTTGTCCTGTATGAGATTTTTCCAGGACCATCACTTCCCTGCTCCAGTGTGTAGAATCATTTCTCTCTAAAGTGCCCTGGTTCTGTTACAGGAGAATAACAGCAGCACCTGAAATCCATATTCAAAGCATCCATGTTTAATTGTTTCTTACAAGTCTTTAAGTGTTAGGTTGATCTAGCTAGTTGGTATGCCAGTGAATGAACTAGGCAAAATATTATGTGAAGCTTGGATAAAATTAATTTCTTAATTGTCTATAATCAGTATGAATTAGTCAGCATTATTCACACTTAAACTAGTGGATGAAAAAATGAAAAAAAAAATGAAGTTGCCTTTGGTGACCACCCTTTGGATATATTTTCACTAATACTGAACAGGTTAATTTGTTCTTGAGTAATAATTTTCAGTTCTAATGCAATCATATAAACACTTGCCCTGTATTTTAGTTCTATAATTTAAGTTCAGTTTCAGGGGATTGGTATTTCAATCTGACAGTTCTAACTTAGTGGCACCTTTAGCTACAGCTCCTTACTAGCTCTACCAGCCCACTTTATTAATTGAGTGGAAAAAATATGAGCACTTTGAGCTACAGGAATTTCACTTATCTGACATCTTTCTGGTCCACCTGCAGTGACCCAATACATGGTTATATATAAAAGGCTCTCATACAGTACAAGCTCCCTGTCAGAGAAGCTCATTTTCTTTATAGAAAAAGAAACTATAGTAATTTTATTGAAATCTATGTTGTAAGTGAACACATATCAAACTTAGAATATTTTATGTGTAAGTATATGTATGTATGTCTCTTTCTGGGCATTTTGTTCTATTCCATTAGTCTGTTTCTCCCTGCACCAAAACCATACTCTTAATTACCGTAGCTTTCTAATAAGATGATATCTGTTAGGGGTAAAGTCCCCTTGCTTTGTTTTTCAAGAGTGTCTCAGCTTTTCTTAGACTTTAAATCTAAAGATCAATTTGGGGAGATTTGACATCTTGTCATCTTCAAACCAGGAATATGGTGTTTATCTCTCTATATAATGCTGGTGCCAAATTGGCAGTTATGCCCCAAATTTAAAATAGTTTTGAATGTTCACTTATTTAGGTCTTCTTTTATGTATTTCAGTAAAGTTTTATAATTTTCACATCTTTTATTAGATTTATTTCTTGATGTTGTTTTCTGTTGCTGTATAACAGATTACACCCTCACTTCATGGCGGGGTGGGGGAGAATACCTCAGTGGCTGAAAACAACAATAAACATTATTTTACAGTCTCTGTGGTTTAGGAATTTGGGAGGAGCTTAGCTGGATAATTCTGACTCAGGGGCTCATGAGGTTGCACTCTATTACGTCAGCCAGGATTGCAGTCATCGAAAGCTTGACTGGGGCTGGAGGATCCAGTTTCCAGTGGCTCACTCATGTGACTGCCAGGTCAGAGCTGGCTGCTGTTGGCAGGAGACCTCAGTTCCTCTCAGCTTGGGTCTCTCCATAATGCTACAAGTATTCATCTTTGCAGTGTGATGGCTAGATCCCCCCAGCCAAGAGCATGCATCCCAAGAGAGCAGGGCAGAAGCCACAGTCTTTTATGGGTAGCTTCAGAAGTCATACTCCAACCAAGTCTTCTAATAGTTACTGGTGGCAGCCCTGTTCAACGTGGGATGGCATTGCATAAGGGCATGAATTCCAGGAGGCAAGAATCACATTCAGAGATTGCTACCACTGATGCCATTTAAGTCATTTCCTTTATTTCATTTTCTGGTCATTGCTACTACAATCAATTTCTATTTTGTTTATTTCTCTCTTAAAATAAATGTACCCAGCAATGTTGCTAACTCTTATTATTCTACTAATGTATGTATGAATTCTTTTAAAATTTTTTAATGTAGTCTATCTTTTGCAAATAGTATTTCCTTTTCAAGTTGCCACTCCTTTTATTTTTTTTCCTCACTTACTGTGCTAACCAGAACTGACAATATCACAATCATCTCTGAATAATGTCTTCGGTTTTTGCTTTTCAATCTTTATTCCTTTTATTTCTTGTCTTACTGGCCAGACCTTCTGTATAACATTGGATAAAAGCAATGATAGCAAGTATCCCTATATCATTCTTGATTTTAAGAACATATATCAATTGTAGGATTTTTATAGATACCCATTATGAATTTAAATACTATCTTTCCTAGTCCTAGTTTGCTAAAAGGTTTTAAATCATTCAGTGGATGTTGAATTCTAACAAATGCGTTTTCTGTACGTAGTTTCCTCATATTACATTCCTCCTTTGGTCTGTTAATGAGATCCATTTGTTTTTTGGTTAGTTTTTTTTGTGTTTTTTCTTCATGTTAAAGCAGCCTACTTCCCTGGAGGTCCAGTGATTAGGACTCTGGCTTCCCTTGTAGCTCAGCTGGTGAAGAATCTACCTGCCGTGCAGGAAACCTGGGTTCAATCCCTGGCTTGGGAAGATCTCCTGGTGAAGGGGAAGGCTACCCGCTCCAGTCTTCTGACCTGGAGAATTCCACGGACTGAATAGTCCATGGGATCGCAGAGTCGGACACAACTGAGCGCCTTTCCCTTCACTGCACTGCTGCGGGCCTGGGTTCAGTCCCTGGTCAGAGAACTGAGATCTGACAAGCTGTGCAGCACAGCACGGCCACAAACAAAAGGCAGCCTCGTGTTCCTGGTGCCGGCAGCCACCCCGACACAGATGAGGCCCCGAGTGGCGTGTGCGGACTCAGGTTCCCCTCTAAGCACTGGTATCTCCAGGAGGCCAGGTCCCAGCCAGGCAAGGGAGCTTTTCAGCAGACTGCATGGCTCCCTGTTTCATGTATGCCAGCGATGGCCTCTGTCTCAGCTGATGGTGCAGTTCTCAAGGATGGAGAGGGATATGGTATGTAAAATAAGACTATACCTTGTTGGCGCACACCACGCTTCCCAACTTCTAAATCAGCCCGTGAACTGTGATATGAGGGAAAGGAAGGAGGCACATACACTCTAGGCCCCAGCTGTTATGAATGGGCAAAACCAAAAGGCCCCAAGGAACTGGTAAGGAATTCACTCTGACTTCCTTCACCACTTCAAACCATGACCATTATGAAGCTTGATTCAGAAGCAAAGGATTCACCTCCCAAGGACTGTAATGCCCATAGGAGGAATCCAGAGATTCTTCCTCAGGTGCCTGGAGTGAATGGACTTTATAACCACAGTTCATACAGGGAGCAATACTCAGGTCTCTGAAACAAACTTTCAATGTCTTGTAAGCAGTGTTACCCAAGGGGCCAGCTCCCTTGAAAGGAGGTAGCCAAATAACAGCTGATGGGCATCCTTGGGGGCAGAGGTTAGTAATTCCCTCTGCCTGAGCCCATGTCAGTCGTCACCTTGATGATTTCACTGCTGATAACGTTTATGAAATGAGAATCATTTTTGGGTCTCTACCTAATCAGACTCTCAGGTCTGGATTTTTCTTGCCAAGCATTGGTGAAAACAGGGACTCAGGACATTCAGACCTAGAAAGATACCATGTGAAGCCCACTATCTTTGATGGCGGCCTGGTGCATATTAAACACTTAATAAATCCTCTTGATCTTCTTTTTTCAAACAGATCCCGAATCAGCAAAGTAGAGCTCTTTAGATCATTCCAGAAGCTGCTAAGCAGTATTTCAGAGGACAAGTGGCCAGACTCACTCAGGTGATGTCATTGACCTGCATTTTTCATACTTAGGAGGACTTCTTTTTTACTTCTGCTTTTGAATGGCAGGAAGTTTTGGCAGGAATGGTGTTTCAGTAGGCCAGTGAGTGCTTAGTACTGACCGCATGCTCTTCAGCCCCCAGGGCCCCAGCTGCAGACGTGTGTGATCTGAGATGTGACAGGTGCAGAGTTGGTGGGACAGAGTCACAGAGCCTGCGCACAGAATTGGGGCCTGGCCCACCCCGGGTCCTGCTTTATTCCACCTCCAGATGGAGAGCGCTGTGAAAATGGGAATGCTGAGGTGTCAGTGTATTCTGTTTGGAATATTATTCTCTTTTTCTTTTCAATCAGTGGCTGTGAACTAAAGCTCGTTGACTTAAATTACTTTTCAAACAGGAATGTAGAGACTATAAAACCACTTCATGAGCAGGTGGGTGGATGGAATTCAGATGCTAACAGAGTTAGGCCAAATCTCACTGGGTAAGGGCACAGTCCCCAAAAACTGACCTCACTTGGTAATACCAGCTGCATTCTAGGGGGCCCCAAAGCCACTTACGCTTCTGACCAACTGACTACAAACTCAGGTTCCAACTACCCCCTCAGGTTCAGTAATCACTAGAAAAACTCACAGAACTCAGGAAGGCACCATACTTTCAATTGCCTTTTATTGTAAAAGATACAAATAAGGACCAGATAAAAGAAAGGACATATAGGGCAAGGTCTGCAAAGGTATCCAACCTGCTACTGCTGTGTCCCCAGGATGCACCACCTGCCATGTCACCCCAGCATGTCACTGTCTGTCACCAACCAGGAGCCTGACGCACGTTTTAGTGCCCAGAGTGTTTATTGGGGTTTCATCATCAAGCATGAGTTATGGAATCACTGGCCACACAATGTGACTGAACTCAATCTCTACCTTCTCCTCTCCCCACCCCAGGATGTCAGATATCAGATGACTCAGGGCCCCAGCTTTCTGATCTCATGGTTGATCTTTCAGCCACAGCCAGCGCATCCTGAAACTATCTAGGGCCCACCATGAGTCACCTCATCAAGCAAAAAGTTGAGATCCGAGGGGTGCACCATGAATAACAAAGACACTCCTATCATCAAGGAAGTTCTGAAAGTTTAGAGGTTCCCTCCCAGGAACTGGCAACAAAGACCAGCCAAGTTCTTTTTTATAGAACAGTGGGGAAGCCAAGGAGTAGCTAGACACTTCCATATGAAGAGGCTACTACCTGTTTTCATCATGTATCCTGCAGTCAGTGTCGATGCCCTCCAGTCATCCATGGTCAGTTTGCTTGTTTCTTGTCTGGAAGAGTCAATCAGATTGGAGCTGGGTAGGTTACTATATGTTCTATGCGTTAAAACAAATCTGGACTTAGGTAAGGAGAGACCTCATTTGAAGGCTTTGTTGCAAGAAGAGACGGGGCCTGTTTCAGTAGGCGGAGAAGGACTAATGCAGTAGCAAGAGCATCACAATCTTAAGGTCTGTAAGCCTCTGGAAGAGCAGGTGCAACGGAGAAGTTCTGTCTAAGCAAAGTTAGAGCTGGAAATGGGGGAGTGGGGTGAACAGGTAGTGTGACGGGACCATTGAACAGGAAGTGTCGGTCCTCAGGAGGGGCTGTTAAAAGAAAGGGTTGTTAAACCTGCCTACACTGGCTCAGGCAGAGAGTGACTCAAAGTTCAGGGATCTGCAGGAAGGAGAGAAGCATAACTGGTAATTAATATTTGATTAAATTAGCAGGCATGTTGACTAGATTTCGTCAGTGGGTACAAACAGTTCAGCTAATCATTAAGAGACAAAGAATGGGTGTTTGGAGGGTCTATGTCTGGCCTTGTCACAGGTAAACCAGGGGGGCATCCATGAATCTAAGTAATGAAGAAAGGTGGTTCTTTCCAGTCTGCCATTTCCCACAACACATAAATATAGGAGGGAGGTTTCTTAACCATTGCTTGTTTTAGGAACTGAGGGCTCAGGTCAAGTTTAACATTGTCATGCATGTAACTCCCATCCATTAACCAGGGAAAAGCTGTGGGAAATTGATCAAAGGATTAGAATCAGTGTCTGCTACAATTAGCAACTCTGTTACAATTAGCTCTGTGCTGTAGTGAGTGAAGAAACAACTTGGGTCTCCTAAGATCTTGGCAAAGAAGGAAAGAATAGAAGCAGGGTAAAACCTGAATCAATGAGATATGAGCCTCAGTTTCTTCAACTATGAGATGACAAGGACATAGTTCAAGGTCAGAGTTGGGTCAAGAAGAGGACTTTGAGAAGCCTGACTCAAGTCTGAGCAAAGGAAAGAATCTTGGTCTCAAGAAAATCTTTTTATCTGGGTGTAAGTAAGACATTACTCAGCACATTAGCCTTTCTTCAGCAGTCAGAGACACTGAAGGATTTGGGAAGGGTGTTGGCTTTCATTACTCAGGAGAATATGACTAAGGTGAAAAGTACTTTGGGAAAATGCAGTTGAGAAGTTTCTAACAGCTCAATCCTGACGGTGAAGATTATAGCCACGTAGAAAACTTTAAACCAAGTAGTAGATAGTTATTCCTTTTTATCTGATTCCACCAGGACCGAAAAAAGGGAAGGAAAAAGAAAAAACAGACTAGTATTCTGTTTATTTTTACCTGTTTTAATCCCATGTTGTTTTGTAGTGACTTTCCTACAAAGGAGCTAAGAGTCACTCTAGGACAGCATAACAGAATCCTTCCGTTCCTAAGTGTCCTGTAATAAATGTGTCTGGCCAGTCGCTGAGGTGTCTTGCTGGCAACAGGGGCGAGCTGTCCAGTGAGAACGTGTGTGCTTGGTGGTGTGTGTGCATTAGGGCGCAGAAGCTGGCAACATACCAAGACTACAAGGAGGCTGCATCCACTTACCAGCAGGCCTGGAGCGCACTCCGGAAGCAGGCATTTGGATCCTGGATCAGAAATCCCCCAGATTATCACCAGTTTATGTGAGCAACGAGTTGTTTTCCATTCGTTCATCCTGGACTACCATCTTCCTACATGCTAAACAGGTCTTAGATTTTCTTGTGGCTGATCAGGAAAAAAGACTGACATCTACCAGAGCGATAGATCTCTTCTATGTCGGATGGAATTTTGGACATGAAACAGTCTATACCTGATTGAACTATGCTTTCAAACTGTGATGCTGGAGAAGACTCTTGAGAGTCCCTTGGACAGCAAAGAGATCAAACCAGTCAATCCTAAAGGAGATCAGTCCTGAATATTCATTGGAAGGACTGATGCTGAGGCCAAAGCTCCAGTACTTTGGCCACCTGATATGAAGTACTGACTCATTGGAAAAGACCCTGATGCTGGGAAAGACTGAAGGCAGAAGGGAAAGAGGGCGACAGGATGAGGTGGTTGGATGGCATCACCAACTCAATGGACATGAACTTGGGCAAATTCTGAGAGATGGTGAGGGATAGGGAGGCCTGGTGTGCTGCATTCCATGGGATTGCAGAGTCAGACACAACTTGGCAACTGAACAATAACAGTACTTGACTGAAGTAGCTCTCTTAAAATAGCATCTTGCTAATGACCTTGGTGTGTGTCCTGTATTTCATTTCTTCTCTAAGAATAAGAATTTGGAATGTGATGCTGTAAAAGTACTCTGCACCAACTCCACTTCCTGTGTTCCTCATTGATTCAGCAGGTATTTATTGGGCTGAGATGATGTTTGAATCTCTGCAAATTTTAGAGCTTTACCTGTCAAAATGGGCATGTATTTTGTATACCCAGCCTTGCTTCCTTTGAAGAACCATCCTTTCCTGCTTTATCCCTGAGACTGGGGTGAAGCGAACTTTCCTTGTTGACTCCAGCAGGAGTTGGAGTTGGAGTTGGCTCACGCCAACACTGAACAGTCCTGGAACTAATACCAGGGCATCAGGAAAGATGCCCGCCCTTCTCATATCAGGAGCTGTAAGCACCAGGTAACCTGAGACTGCCTGGGGCTGCCTTGCCCACTGCACAGCCAGCCACCTGGAGAAGGAAGGTGATGAATGAAACAGCCCAGAGGATGAAGGCTCTCGTGACCTTGTCTGGATGCCTGAAACTAGTGCCCACTCTGGATTTCAATGATGAGACATAAATTGCTCTTGTTATTTTGAGTAAGCTCATTTGACTCCGTTTTCTGTGACTTTCATTGGAAAGAGTTCTGTCTAAAAGGCCAAACAAAAGTCCCTATAGCAACTCAGCAGCACACCTAGAAACCAGGCCTGTTTTTACTAACATCTAGTATTTAACTCTCAACCTCTTCACACTCTAATATACTGACTGGAAGTGGAAGCTCTCCATGTTGGGATTACTCAAGGACCTTGTTGGTTCTTTAGTATTTCTTTATAGCTTTAAATATTTTTAATAACAGCTTTATTGAGATGTAATTCACATACCAAAAAATTCACCCCTTTAAAATGTACAGTTTAGTGATTTTTAGTATATCCACAAAGATGTGCAAAATCACCACAATCAATCTTAGAACATTTTTGTTCTAAACTGGGGGTGGGGGGTGCTATGTGACCCAGTACAGTGCCCATCAGCAGCCGCTCCTCACATCCCCTCAACACCCCCACTAACCCCAGGGAAGCAGCAGTCTACATTATGTCTGTATGGATTTGCCTATTCTGAACATTTTATATAAATGAAATCGTACAATATGTGGTCTTTTGTGACTGGCTTCTTTCGTTTAACATGATGTTCTAAGACTCATAATGTTGTAATGTGAATTGGTAACGTCATTCAGTACTTTATTCCTGTTTATGGGGTAAAAACCACATTCAGTTCTATGGATATACCACATTTTGTTATCTAATCATCAATTGATGGACTTTAAGGTTATTTCCACTTTTTGGCTATTGCGAATATTGCTGCTGTAAACATTCATGTACAGGTTTGCTTGTGAACATATGTTCTTAATGTTTTTTAATTGCAGAAGTAATACATAAGGTCTCTTTTTTTGCCTTGTTACCATTGTCGCTTCGGGAGGGGGCGGGGGCAGGGCGGGGAGTTACGTGGCTTCTGAACTCGCAGTTCCCCAGTCGGGGACTGAACCCAGGCCTTGCAGTGATACCATCGCGTCCTAGTGACTGGACCCCCAGGAATTCCCCAAGGTTTTCATATTGAGCTATCCTTGAACCTTATTCTATGAGGAATCCTTTTAGCTGAGAGCAAAGACAAAAACCTCACTACCAAAGGCCAGACTTCCCACATGCTGCTTTAATCAGCCCTTTGCCTGACCTGGCCCCAAATCCTACGACAGGAGAGTAGTTAAGACACTTCGACTGGCAGAAGCTTTTATCCACAGAAGACTATGCATTACTCTCAAGAGATTCTGTTTTCAAAGATAAAGGTTTATTTGAGAATGTAAGGAATTAGTGTCTTTTCTTTCCTAAAATTTATGGTGTTTGTCACATGTGTACAAAATGTACCTTCAATTTAAGACTTTAGACCAGAGACTAGGAAGCCCTGAAAGCTAGAGACCAGAGGCGTTTTCACTTTGGACTCTGCCTGTTTTGTCAAGAGTCAAAAGGAGACCTTAGACAGCCCCTTTCCCTAGGTTTTGCTTTAATCTCTTAAAAACCCAAGTTTCAAATCTCACCTGTGCCTTCAAATCATATCTCTGTAGTATTGGCAGGTTCTCAGACTTCATACATTTAGATCATGTGTTTTTACTGATAACTACTTCTAATTTTTAAGTACCTGTAAAAAAAAAAAAAAAAGCTTCTTATAGAAATTTTTAAATAGACTCAAAACTAGAAAAGCACAGTGGACCCATCACCCAGACCAAACATCCATCAGCTGTATGCTGTTGTTACCTGATCTTTTCCCCACTCTGCTCCAATTTCGTTTTTCTTACAACATTTTAAACTGAATTATAGCTATCCTATTCTACCCAATAAAATCAACAATCATTCTTTAATATCTATTATGCAGGCTGTGTTTAGTTTCCCCTATTGTCTCAAAAATCTCTTTTGACTACTGATTTGTTCAAATTAGAATCCAAACAACATCCACACAGTGCATTGGATTGATGTATCTTTTGTGTCACTAGTCTCTAGCAGTTCACTCTCCTTTTTATGTCCATAACAAATGGGTCATTTGTCCAGTAGACTCTCTCCCATGCAGGATTTGGCTGCTTATTTCCTCCAGTGTTGATAACCGGTTCCTCTCCCCCTCATATTTTCTATAAATCTGTGGTTACATGGAGAGGCTTGATTACAGCCAAGTTCAGTTCTTCCCAGGAGATTCTGCACCCTTCTGTTACATTATATTAACCTGGGGGAACATGACATCAGGCTGTCCCGCTTTCAGTGACTGATCAGAGAGTTCAGTGGTACCAGCATGATCTATCCCCTCACCCTTTCACAGAATGGTTTTAGTAGCTGTGGCTTGAGGTCCCCAAGACCACCCTCAGATTGAGGCAGTAGACAGACTCACAGAACTCAAAGCTATTGTCCTCAGAGTTACCATTTGTTACAGCGCAAGTTGGCAAAGAGAAAGGCACATGGGGAAGAGGGTCCGTACAAGCTTCTGGTTGTCCTCGCTTGCTGACGCTCCTGGTGTCTCTGACATCTGACATCTTTGCCTTGCTGACCCTGGAGAGACTGCCCCTCCTGGAGCTAGCCAGTCCCAAGCCCGCTTTCCCCGCCTGGCCCCTGCCGGTCCCTTCACACTGACGGTTCTTGCCCACATTTCCTCCTCGCCCCCAGAGCATCCTGACCTACCCTGGGGCTTCCACGTGTGGCTCCTCCTGGCATGGCCTGCCCCCTCCTCCTGTATTCCAGAACACTCTCCAGGGGGGCTCACACAGCACAATGCTGGGGGGCCGTGACATCTGACCGGCAGTGTGAAGTATCACTGCCAATCAGGGAGGCTCACGCGAGCCTTGGGTGCTGACACCCTCTGATACATAGGACAACCCCCCACAACAAAGAACTATATCCTGCCCAAGATGTCAGTGTTGCTGAGGTTGAGGAACCTGAACTAGGGATTATGAGGTGTTCTCTTTTTGTTTTTGGAGGCGCCCAAAGGCTTGTGAGATCTCAGTTCCGCAACCAGGGATTGAACTTGGGCCACAGCAGTGAAAGCCCCGAATCCTAACCACTGAACCACCAGGGAACTCCCAGATTGTGAGTATGTCAAAGTCACTGGAAACAGTTCCTCTCTAGCTCCTCTCTGCTCCACATCTATACACAGTTAATTTTGTTTCATTTCCCTTTCAATTTTTAGGGGGACTTTTTACCAAAAAAAAATTATGTAAAATTTAAAACAATTTTTTTTTAAAAAAAGGTACATTCAGAAAGGTCTTCCATCTTTGTCCCGTGACTTCTGTTCCTGCCCCCAGCAGTAACCATTTTTTTAGTTGGTGATCAGTTCAGTTCAGTCACTAAGTCGTGTCTGACTCTTTGCAACCCCATGGACACCAAGCCTCCCTGTCCATCACCAACTCCCAGAGTTTACTCAAACTCATGTCCATTGAGTTGGTGATGCCATCCAACCATCTCATTCTCTGTCGTCCCCTTCTCCTGCCTTCAGTCTTTGCCAGCATCAGGGTCTTTTCAGATGAGTTAGTTCTTTGCATCAGGTGGCCAAAGTATTGGAGTTTCAGCTTCAGCATCAGTCCTTCCAATGAACAACCAGGACTGATTTCCTTTAAGATGGACTGGTTGGATCTCCTTGCAGTCCAAGGGACTCTCAAGAGTCTTCAGCAACACCACGGTTCAAAAGCATCAATTCTTCAGTGCTCAGCTTTCTTTATAGTCCAACTCTCACTTCCATACATGACTGCTGGAAAAACCATAGCTTTGAGTAGATGGATTTTTGTTGGCAAAGTAATGTCTCTGCTTTTTAATATGCTGTCTAGGTTGGTCATAACTTTCTTAGTTGGTGATAGACATTTCATATTCTTCCCTT